ATGGGATGAGGCTATAAATAATTACCTAGCACGCAAGCCGAATCAGTCTTTGACAAGAAGCAGGCGTCATCTCCGTAGGCCCATTTTTCGCGGATCTTTGTTTTATAATAGGTATGTTTGTTATCAAAGCCGGAAACAACCGCAATTAAAGACAATTTGAAAGATTTTATTACTGCTTCAGGAACATCCTGACGAACGTTCGCCTGAAGAAGCGACCTAAGGAGGAGCTTAGATTGAGATGCCAGGAGATTCATGTAACGCGCCTAAATACGTAAAATGCAAACTTAGTTTGCAAAAATGTACTATGCTATTAACTATTGCCGTTTTTTAAATTAAAAATTGTTTAAAAAATATATAAAATAAATTTTATTTTGCAAATTTTAAATAACATTAAACTAGTTTTTAGTTATTTGCTTTTTAGTATGTGCCAGCACATGCTTATGCATTTCGTACGCTCTTCAATTTGACTAATGTCCTATATGTCTGATCATAACGAGCATCTTTCGTTCATTTGCCCGAAGGCTCCGTCTTTCGGGCTTATAACGGATTTTAGGCTTTCAAAAATAAATCGAAATCTTCTTGCTGACTTTGAAAATCCTGAGTCTGAAGTTATAAGTGGCCATGAACAAATGAAAGTATTTTTGCGAGTTAGGCCACTATCCGACAGTTCCTCCTGCAGGGTACTTTTATTTTATTTATTGTCTTCTTAAGCTTCTAAAGGTGGTTAGTCAATACAGTGTCATTGTTGAGGCTCCAGAGGAATCATACTGCTCTCGATCTGGTGTAGCTGACAAGATTCAGAAATTCACATATTCCCAAGTTTTCAGCGAGAAAACAAATCAGCACACGGTTTTTAGAGAAGTTGTCCTGGATCGTGTCCGCGAATTCTTAGAGGGCCTTAACAGCCTCGTTTTTACCTATGGCACAACCAGTTCCGGAAAGACTTTTACGTTGCATGGAACTCTAACTAATGTAGGAATCATCCCCAGAGCATTGGATGTTATATTCAACAGTATTAAGCACCATGCAGATGTTACAATGGTGCCTAAGGACTTCTCTGATATTACCAGGCTAACGACAATGGAAGCCGAAAAAATAGTTAGGGAAAAAGATCGCCTACTAAAGTTAGGAAAGAATATAGCTGAGGTATTTTATTTACATTTTACCTTCCTGCTAATAATTGCGTTCTTTATTTTACTATTTTAGTTAATGCACATTATTCATGATTTTAGGAGATTGTTGGGAAAGGCGATCCCAATGAAGATTCCACAGAAAGTTCTGTCGATGCTTGGGCTAAACTCCTCGCCCCAGACAGATCGGCTCAGTCGGATCCTAGTAATGTTTCTTCTTGGGAGAGGGAATCACTCTGTGTTCCTGTTGCTTGTCGTGACGATCTTCGTTTTACTCTGTGGATTAGTTATGCTGAAATTTATAATGAAATCGCCTATGATCTTCTAGACCCAGTTCAATGCGCCGCTAGCATCACTCAAGCACCCACTTCCGTTTCTTATTGCCAGATTACTGGCTTTACTATTGCTTCTGCAGGAGTCAATGGCGGGTCTGCTACCACACAATCACTCTCTCATCAGCATGTGTCAAACAGTATCCAGAACATGTTTAGCATTGGTTCTTGCGGATCGATGGGATTTGGTCTTTCTAGTAGTTTGGCTGGTGCCACTCGATCTCGTCGAACTCCTTTAGACCTTCGGACAGATAAAAATGGGAATATTTTCATTAAAGGTATTTCTGTTTCCTTGCTGCCCTATTTCAAAACAGTGCTTTCTGAATGTGAAGATTCTTCTAAGTCTTTCTAATTTGTTTTTTCCTTGATCTATATTATAGGCCTTCGCTGGTATCCTATATCTTCACCAGAGGAAGCTTTTCGTCTACTCCTGGTGGGTCGTCGTTGCCAACAAGTCGCCGCTACGCGTTTAAACCAGGCTAGCTCACGATCGCACAGCATTTTTACAATCAAGGCCGTTCGAGTCGTGGATAAGCAAAATCCTCAATTCGCACGTATCTCAGCCATATCTTTCTGCGATCTTGCTGGCAGTGAGCGTTCTGAAAAGGCAGCCACTGGTGGTCAGAATGTCCGACTTCGTGAGGCAGGGAATATTAACACTAGTCTCCTCACTCTCGGTCGCTGTGTCGAATTCCTGCGCTACAATCAGACCCATCGTGATAATCCGAAATTAGTTCCTTATCGAGATTCCAAACTCACTCGACTCTTCCAAGGCTTCTTTACAGGCCGTGGAAAGGCCTGTATGATTGTGAACGCTTCGCAGAATCCTTCCCTGTTCGATGAGACCTTACATGCTCTGCGTTTCTCTGCTTTGGCTCGCGACGTTGTGGTTAGGCCAAATCTTATCCGTGAGACCGCTCTTCAGGCACCACAGTCCAAATCTATTGTTGACAAACGTGGAGGGCAACGCACCCGCTTTGTTAAGCCTCAACAACCACCTGTCGATCGCCGTGCTAGGCCGAAGCATGTGTATGTCATTTATTTTATTTCATATTTTTAGGACTATGTTACTCAAAGGTGCCTATCTTCTTTGCATTTGCAAATTTTTTAATCTTTCTAAAATGGGACTCATTGTTCAATCCAATCCTTATTATAATCTTACCCATAGTTACTTATTCTAAATATTCTGCCATAATGTGATTTTTATTCTTTTGCTTATATCACGCTAGCGGGATTACTTCATCCGCTGAGGTATAAACGGTGCTGAATTTAAACATGTCTCATTATCAACTATATATAGACATATCCCAGTCTATATTGCTGTTTTTTCAGTTGCAATAACATCAACAAGCAAAACAGAAATTATTAATGCCACTATCCTTATGATAGTCTAGATTCTGTACCATCATGAATGAGCACTTTTTAAACTTCAACGTTTAATCTCTACGAAAGTATGACAAGAACAAAGTGCGATTTTATTATTAAAGTTTATTAATACAATTGTTGGTGCCCTTTTCACAGCTTCATAAGAATTTGTGGTGGAATAGAAGCTTCATGGGCATCTATTATTTCCGGGCTTTATATCATTGTAAATTCGATCTCATACTGTTCCCACACAATAGATACGGCCCTAAGAAAGATGATCACACACCGGCAAAGCCACCACGAACTCCTAACACCTCATTTGGCCTTCGCACTCCAGTTCCATCTCGTCATTTTCGACTAAGCAGTGACTCGGATAGTTCAAGTTCTGTTCCAACCACTGTCGTTCGCGTGAACTCTCAAATTCACTCTCTTCAGAGTGCCAAAACAAATCGTATTGGGGGCAGGACCAAGACGAGCATCGCTTCCAGAACACGCCGTAGTCGACATTCTGCTAGCCATCTGATTCGTGGACTAAGTCCTGTTACAGGGCCACCATGGGAGTCATTGAATCAGGGGCTGCCTCCCACCTCGAATGGTTGTCTTGAGCGTACCATCAAAGCCTCGGTGAGCCGGGGTGTAGTTACAGTGCATGCCGAAAGCCCAGTGGAGGCAGGTGAGTCAACTTTAAATGAAGCCAGCGGCGATCTACTTGAGTCTTCTGACAGCTGTACGGAAGCTGATCCAGACACTCCAGATTTTGGGTTCCTCACTCCACAGAAGTGTAATAGCCTTGGACTCAATGCGGACGACTATAGCAGAGAGGTAAACCCTGTTAGATTTGCCCCTTAGGTACAGCTTTAGCTGTTCAATAGTCTTAAAGCATACAATATATTGGTACCTGGTCTTGTAACCCTAACCTCATAAAGTGGACCAGGACAGATGCATTTTTCAGTAATAATATTATTAGGTCACACGATGACATGCAATTTCATGGAATATAAATTTA